TTGGAAACCGTGAACAAAAGGTGTTGGGCCAAGACTGTTTTAAAACCCAAGTTTACTTTTTTTTGGTTTAAAAAAAACAAAAAAAAGGTAGATCTTACTCGAGCTTTGGGTTCAAACTCTTTTTAAATATGTAAGTTCCTGACTGTTTGTACAGACGAGGTTGCAAAACCAGTATTTTATTCTGTCTCTTGTTTGATCATTTATTTTTTTTTTTTTTAATCAAATGTTTATATTGACCAAATGCATTTTGCACACTTTGTGAAGCCTTGGTATGTCCTGGCATATTACTGGGTACTCCAGAGAGAGATACATGCTGCTGCTGTCGTTGTTAGCATCTAGTAGGAAGCTTTGTTATGTGTGAAGGCCAGTTGGGCTTAAACGCAACCCCTTCACCACTCCTGCACTCACAATCACAAACTCTGCACTGATTCAGCCAAGGTGATTAAGCCGCAAGCTTTCTCTTTTTTTTTTTTTTCTTTTTTTTTAATGCCACCCCTGCCAAAAAAACACTGTTTGCTATTGCCAGAGGTAAAACTCTTGTAGCCTCCAGAGTTGGTAGAAGCATGTCTGAGCCCAGCTTCATTCTCTGCTGCCTGTTGACTGACTTAACGTCATCCAGCTGGCCCGAAACCATCCCAGCTTCCCGAGCACTGAAGGTAGTTGCGATGCTGGCGTTTCTTGTGCACACTCGATTCTTTCCCATGTGTGCGGGGTGGAGGGGGAACGCAGCGAGCGCCCGGAGCAGAGCCAGGATCGCGTAGCGGGACGGGACTGAATCGTCACGCACGGAGCGTGCGAGGGGCGCGAAGAGATGTGCAAGTGAGGAGGAGAGCATTGTAACAGAGAATTTTTTTATATATATATATATATATATGAATATATATATTAACTGGCAAATTCTGAGATGATTGGAGCTTTCAACAGAGGTTCTGATTTTTTTTTTTTTTTCCTTCTTCCTCTTTCGAATAACTTTATGCCGTGCCTTCTATTCTGAGAAGACTTGTATGTATTTCTGGCTAGTGTTTGGCAAACTCCTTATACCAAGCTGGGAGGGGAGGAAGTGGTAATAATTTCTGGGAGGAGGGCAGAACGGATTTGGAGATTTCTTTATTGGCTGCAATGTAGTCCCTCCTTTCTCCCCCCCTCCCTGTCCACTTTAACTCTCATATAACTGAAAGAAAAAAAAAAAAAAGCCACGGATTTTTTCTAAATATCCAGTTTTTTGTACTTTTTTCAAGAAAATGAAAAAAATAATTAAAAAAATCTCCATCTGGAGGAATGTTTGACGCTGTCACATCCTGAAACTGTTCTTTTTGTTACAAGATGTTATCAGAATGTTGGAATGAGCTTCTGTTTCTTGTTTTCTGGTTGTTTTTTGTTTGTTTGTTGGGTTTTGTTTGCCACAATGTTGGGATCGTGGGTCATTGGAAGGGAGAATGGGCGTACGGTTGTGAGTGAGAAAATTGGGAATATCCTAATTGCATCTTACCTCATGGAGGAATTTATTTTTTCAGGGATTTTTTGACAGTGCATCTGTATTGCGTTACAGCTAAGCTGGTTTGTAAAGGCTTCCTGTGCTGTTAGTGGTCTTTCTTTCTTTAAAGGAAAAAAATAAGATGCATCTTTCTGATTAGTACAAATGAGAGCTTGTTAGTGAGGAATGGTTCTGATTTCTGAGTTATGAAGGAAAATTAGTGACCCTATATATACTGATCCAATATTGGGACTTTGTTTATATTGCAAATAAATATTATTTTTTCTTTAAAAATGATGTTTGTGTCAGATGCTTGTCTAGCCTCTGCCCATATAAGGGCATGCTGCTCTTATCCGTTTTTTATGGTCAATTAGTATTCTTCTGTGACCATGAAGAGCATTTGCTGGGCAGTGTTCAAGTGTGGTGTTTGGTTTCATGCACAGCTTAATTTTTAAGACCTGTGGTAAAATGGAGAGGGGGAGGTGGGAGGGCGAGGAGAGGGATAAGGGGGTATTGGATAAACCAGAGAACAAAGAACAGCTTGAGAATGGGACTGGCTTTGACCCCAGCCATTCCTCTGCACCAAAAATAAATAGATAAACTAAAGACACTTTTGTTCGCCGTTTAAGCGTGGCCTACAAAGGCATGGCAAAGCCTTGCCCCCAACTGTTGTGTTAGCAGACTGTGTTTTGGTAGGAAAGCAAGAAGTTGTGGCCTTGTGGGCAGCCACCTGATGACTTATCCTGGGTCTCTCAGAGAGCAGGAGCCCCCTCCTGCATCCTTGGGGGAAAGGGGGTGCAGTGTGGGTTGCACATGGGCTGTGCTGTCCCCCTGTGCTCCCCAGGTGCAGTTTGTGGGAAATCTGGAATGGCTGATGAGAGTGTTTTAGGGTGAAATGTGGCTCTGAGTGCAGCCCAGCTAAGGGAGCTGTGGCTCCCCACGACTCTGCTTGTAGCTGGGTAGGGCTGGGTTCCCCCCTACCCCTTGTTTTAACCTAAATGACAAGAAATTAAATGGCTATCTATTCAGTTCAGTTCCTCGAAGTGAGTATATGTGTCACCTTGTTCTTCTAATCCTAGGGCCTGAGCACCAAAGACCAGGTAGCTTAATTCCAGAAGCAGCTCAGGCTGGTGAGTGCAGAGGGGAGATAGAGGCTGAAGCAGGAGCCCAGGGAGTGTGTGTGTGTGTGTGCATGAGTTTGTTTACTCCTTAACTGCATGATGGGGAATCTATTTATTGATTTAGAGGTCTGTTTGTGGCTAAACAAATGAAAATCTACCTGGTATGAAGGGAAAAAAAGACCTCTAGGTTTTACCTTGTAATTACTTGGTAGAATACCTCTTGAGGAAGATAGGAAACCATGCTGGAGGCTGTGCACTGGCGTGCAGAATAGCTTGTCAGGTGTATGGCTATATTTGCTTCCATCTAATTTCCTCTTAGGATTTTCTGCTAAGGTGTGGAGTAGGATATTAGCAGTTAGCATTAGCTCTGTAAGCTCATTTGTTTGGTAGCTGAGTTGTGGCTGGCTGGAACAGCACAGCTGCTGTTTTGCCATGGCTTTGGAGGAAGGGCTGGTGTGCAGGCAGCTGCCAGGCTGCTCCTCTGGCAGCTTCCTGGGGTACCTGATCCTGGGAGATGCAAGTCTACCCTGAGTGTCCCAGCACTGCAGCACTCAAAAGCCTTGTTGCCAAAGGAAGGAGATGACTTGTCTGAAAATCATCCTGCCACCTGCAAGTGCTCTTTCCTCCAAGACCCAAAGGAGCCTTTTCCGAGCTTCCTGGCCTCAACAGCAGGGAGCAGCCAGCCTGGCTGGTCTTCAGGCATCAGTGTTTTACAAATGTCTTGCACCATGCTTCCTGGCTCAGAGGGGTTTCCTTGGAGACCTGATGTCCTGTTATTTAGTGAGGCGAAGAGAACTGACACCAGGCAAGGGGCAATGCTGGAGAAATAGTTACAGAGGGAAAAGAGAACGTGGGGTCTGTCTACACTCCCTTGCAGAGGCAGGCACGAGCATGGCTGAGCGTAGGAGCACGGGCTGAGTGAAAAAGCTGGTTATGTTCAGAGCAGTGGAATTTGGCAAGGAGATAGAGCTTCCCACACACAGCAGGGAGAAGCTCCTCGGTTAACCCATTGATTCCAGATGGGCTGCTTGTAAGATGCTCTGTGGTGTTCTACTCTACAAAACCAGGTAATCTCCTGTTTGGGCACAGAGATCTGCTGTGCCTGGGTTTTCACTTGTGATGCCACAAGTCCTCAGGCAATACAAATGGGAATTTATCTTTTTTTCCCAATGAATGACTTTGTCTTAACTCCTCATTTGAACAGTTAGAGGGACCACAGGGCCTAGATGTTTTAAAAAAGTTTCTCCCTCCTTTTCAAGTCATGGCAAAAGCCCAAAGCTCTAAGCACAGAGCTCAACTTCTGCAATTCCCCATTGGGAAGCCCAGCAAAAAGAGCTCTGTGAGCTTGGGGAAGGGGCTTTGTGATTACTTGTAGCTTTTTTTCCCTTGCTTACGTCCCCTTCCCTTGGTGTGGCAGCAAACACGTTCTGACCATGATGCAAGTCAACCTCTGCAGCTCTGAACTTGTCTGCTGTTGCATCACCTGGAGACGCATGTGGAAAAAGAGACTCTTCCTGCTACCATCTGAATTTGGGTGCTCACATTTCCAAGGTAACCAGGTTATTTGTGGGCTGTTATAGTCTTGTTTTATCCTTTGTGTGAGCAAATCAGGCTATTTGCAGTGTTGCAAAGGCACTCAAATAGTTCAGCTAATGAACACATCCCTGTATTTACAGCCAACTGGCACAGGCTGTGATAGTCATGCTCTGAGGTGCTTGTAAGGAGTGTGAAAGCAGGCTTTCTTCCTGATTTTGTGCCATTTGCTCCCGTGCCACCTCAAATCTGTCTCTTAATTGTGTAGTGCTGGGCTGACTAAATGTAATCGGGGATGAGAGGATGGGTGAGGGAATGTTCAGCAGGGAGAGCAGCTCCTGGAAGTCCCATTCAGCTTCCACGTCCTGTTCCCGCAAGTGTCTTTATTCAAACTGCGCAGTTGCCCTTTCTCCTGGGTTTGTCCCCCGACCTCCTTGCTGTGTCTCCCAGCAGCACAGGCACAAAGGATGGGCCATAATGAGGCCTCCTGGAGCTCCCCTGTCTGATCTGGCACTGTGGGGTCCAGGCTGCAAATGTGGCTCGGCAGCAAACGCGCCTGTTTGCTGGGGGCCGTGCTCATGTTTGAACAGGTGTCTGCGTGGCATCCGTGTGGGAACCGCCTTAAATTGGCGGGAAAAGGTGAGGTGTCAGACCTCAGGACAGCTGTCCCCGGGGTCCTGCCTCACCACACGCTGCTCGGGGGCACCTGAGGGGACCCCGCCTGGTGGCCTGAAAGGCTCGTGGCCATCACAGTGGCACAGAACTGCGTCTGGGTCCTGCGGAGGAGCTGGAGGATGAACAGCCCTGGCAGGAAGGCCCCGAGCCGGCCGAACACCTCAGCCTGCGATGGCGGCACAGCCCTTGGCAGCTGTGATGGCGGCACAGCCCTCGGCAGCTGCGATGGTGGCGGCGCCTGTGGTCAGAGACTGAGCTGCTTGCCATGGAACTGTGAGTTTCTGGAGCCTGCGGGCTCCTCCCTGACACCTCTTGGCTTCCCTGCTCTGCCGTGTTGTGATCCTGTGTTTGGGCTGGGAGCTGGGTCAGGGCGGAAGCTGCGGTTTCAGCTCTGGTGGTTCTGTCAAGGGTTGGGGTTTAATTACGGGTTGGGAACAAATCCTGTGGCAGGTGCAGCCACCCAGGCCAGCTGGATGGCCATGGGCTGCCGGGACCCTGTCTCTGTGGGCCGCATGGGCCCCTTGGTGCTGGGGCAGTGTGGAACCCCCTCCCCTGCCTGGTGCAAGGCAAGACCACCAGTGCTTTGCAGGCCTTTCTTCCTCCCTTCCAGTCATGCTCATTGATGAAATTGCTCTTGTTCTGCATTATCCTTATGTGCTTTCCCTGGTTTCTCCACTGCCTTCTGTTTCTTCAGATAGCTGGGAGTTGAGGTACTCCCACCTGGCAGTGGTTCTTGCAAAGCTGTGGTCCTGTAGGGGAACAGAGCCCTGGCCCCGTTTCTTCTTGGAGACATTGAGATGTTGGAAATGGAGATCAGCTGTTCTGTGGGGAGATTTGGAGGGGATGCTATGTGTGTTACTTATATGCTGCCCAGTTGTACAAGCGATCCAAGAGCGTGTAGGGCCTTAAGAAGTATTTGGTGGGGGACCCAAATTTGGGGAGAAAAGGGAATCCAGACAGATTTATTTATTTCCCTACTTTCTTTCCCTGGAGAAACATCTGGCTTATGTAAAGCCATTTGCTGGGTTTCTCACTGCTTTATTTTGAAAGTCTCTGCATTCGGGCACTGTGCTTTTCTCATCTCCCTGCTCTTCTCATCTCCCATCACAGCCTCAAGGGCAGATTCTTCATGATTTGGGGTTTTGCTTTTATGGAGTTTACTCTTTGTTTCTGGCCTGTGTTGTCTTTTTCTTTTATTTTCTTTCCTTTTCTTGTAAAGGAGTGCTCTAGTTTGACTTGTGGTTTTACCTTGTTTTCTTCTGAGAGGTGAATTGTTGTGATAAGCCCTGCAAAAAGTAGGAGGGAGCAGACTGGTGTGTTGGCGAGACCCTGGTCGCTGATATGGCATTAGTGAAAGCCCTGTGCCAGCAAGAAGCTGAGCTCTGAGGTTTGATTGCGGATGTAACATCCTAAAAGCACAGCATTTTTTCAGTATGGGAGATTTTGAGCTGAATTATGCATGAGGGGGTGCAGTTAGAGGGATAAGCACTTTACTTCCTTTTGCCAATGCAGCTCTGGATTGGACCCATCATTTTCTTGTGCATTTATCCTGGTAGTGAAGTGCTCAGTACCTGGTGAAAGATTTACAGCTCTGCTCCAGTGGTGCAGTTTGTTTGGGTCTTATTCTAAATTTGCCACTTCCTCTCCCTGGGTAGCTGATTCCCTGTTGCTTGGACCAGGCAGTGGTCCAGGCAGGATCATACCCCTGAGAGCCAAGCAGGATCTTCTCAGAGCTGTGCAAAACAGGACGCTGGATGTTAGCTTGAGGGGATTCAGGGTGCTGAGACTGCAGAAAGCTGCCCTCTCCTCTGACAGAACAACAGCTCTGCTGTCAGCTCTGTCTCCGTGTCCTCTCTATCATTCTTCACCTTCCCTCTGCCCCTATTCTGGCAGTTGCCTTTGAGTGATCCTATGCTGGAGGTTGAGGCAGGCTCCTGCATGTCTTGGCCTTGCATCCTGTTGGCAGAAAGCTGAGTGAGAGATGTTTGGGAAAAAGAAAAGCCAACCAAAAACCAAGCTTTGCTATTCATTCATTCCCCAAATAGCTTTCCCTTTCATTGGACAACATCCTCCTGCTAGGACAGTCCAAGCCTGTTCTGACAGACAGCTTATCTGCTTTACAGCTCTGACTGCTTCCTCTGTCTCTCCTTTGTGTGGGAGGTGTTTTGTCTTCCCAAACTTCTGCTGACTTCAGTGGGCGCTCGCCTGTGCCCGAACACGCACTGATAGTGCAGCTCAGTGCCGAAGTTCGCCGCTGGTTTTTATTTCTGTCCCTGCAGCGTGTTTTTCTTTGCAAAGGGAAGGACTGGAGTGGCCTGGGGAGGGCAGGAAAGTTGTTATTGAAAGTTAGTGAAGCTGAGGTTCTCTGTTCACCCTGTCTGGGTCCATCCTGCAAGTCCCGCTGCAGGACGTGGTGAAGGCACTGGTGTCGAGGGGTGGCACACTGGTGGGGGTCCAAATTTGGGCCTGATCTGCACAAGAACTGTACCTGAAAAAGCCTAGAGAAGCCAGCTTGCTGCTTTGCTGTGTTACCAGCTGCTAAGGCAGTTTAGAGAAATTCCCAGCCTAGTTTTAAATCTGTTAAAAGTGGAGAGAAGTGTGTGTGTGTGTGTGTGTGTGTGTGTATGTGTGTGTGCATAAAGCAAGGGTTACAAATGTTAGTATTTTTAGCAAAACAAAGTCAGTCATGTTGGAAGCTGTGATTTGCCAGTGTGCATTCCTGATACAGGATCAACGCCTTCCCTGAGATACAGTTTCCAGTCTATAAAACCATGGAGGATGGGTAGTTTTCTTGAATCTCCAACACTTCTGTGAGTCTGTTCCTTCTGGAGGTACATTGAGGGGTGTTTATTGTGGTTTTAACTTCTCTCCCTGAGCTGTGGGATCCTTCCTGCTGGCCATGCAATGCCACCACATGTCCAGTGCTCCTGCATGTGCAGTGGCAGCTCAGGGATGTTTGTAGGTCAGGGATGACAGATACTGAGCAGGACTCATCAGTGCTATTAATTAATTGCATTCCAACGGCAGCGAAAGCAGTAGCAAGAGTAATAAACAAATTATAATCTACATTATGAAGCTGACAGGTGCCACCCACTCATTACCTGTCTTTAACCACTCTCATTACTACCCAGTCTTTGTGGGAACTAATCTTGCTGCTCAGTGTCCAACTTGTTCATTTAATGCCACTATCTGAAGCAATCGGCCTCTCCCTGTGAAAGAAGAGGAAGGTGCTTTTCCTGAGGCTTGTTCTCTGGGAGCTCTGAGGAGGAGGCTGAGGGAGCACTTTGCAAAAGCACGGTGTGGCTGGGAACTGAAATCCACAGGGACAATCTGGGGAGGAGCTGGGGATGGGTGGCAGGATGGAAGATTGTAACTAGGAGGAAAAATCTGTACTCTGTTCCAATCTCCATGGGATTGAGGACTAATATCCAGTGAAAGGGATATTAGGAAGAGCCACATTTTTTTCTCTCCGGATGTTTTCCAGGGTTCAGAAGCAAGCTGGGTTGCTGAGTAATGACAGTTCTCTTCGTGGCTGCCCCAGGGCATTGCAGGAGGAAGTCCTGATAGTGTTTCTGTGGGGATCTGCTCAAGCTCCCCCTGGGAAAAAGAAGCTGTGCTCCAGGAGTGGTCTGGTGTAGGGTCAGGGATGCTCAGCCAGAGGAGCCTCCTCGGTGCCTGGCTGCTGCCATTACCTTGGCTCTGTCCATACTCAGTGTTAATGACTCTGCTGTGCCTGAGCTGCAGCTGTTCTCCTTTCCTCACTGACACAACTGGGAGCCTTCCTGGGGAAGATTTTTGAATCCTGGAAGCTGATGAGTTGGGCTGAGAGAGCAGATGGGAAAACAGGTCTTTTTCCAGATACTTCATGGGTGGTTGGACCCTGGCCAGCCAGAGGTCCTGTTGTGCTCTCAGAGTTTTGGGATATGTCATGGGGGTCTCTAATGAGTAAACAATAAGCTGAAAGCTGAGAAATTAAGGCTGAGAGGTGAAGGGCCAGCTTTCCCAATGGAGGATTGGCATCACTCAGATGCAACAAGGGCCTGTCAAAAGCCAAAGCTGTTGAATGTGTCTGTTAATGATAAAGAGGAGTAAGTGGCAGATGAAGAAGTTTGCTGCTGACTATTCAGAGTAGCAAAACCCAAAAGCTGCACTGAACAGCTGTAGGAAGTCCTTGCAATGTGGAGTGGTGGGGTTATAGCATATGATGGTGAGAAAAGCAAAGCAATCCAGTGGGAGGAGGGAGCCATCCTAACCTAAAATGCAGTGCAACAAGCTCAGAAAGGGATAATGCCACAAGGGAGAAAGATCTCAGAAGTGCAATGAACTGTGCTATGGGAGCAAGGCTTGATTCTGAGGATGGTCAAAAAACCCAGAGCCAGTCACCTTCTACAAGAAGAGCTGAGAACAAACAGTATAAATGCACTGTATGAATCTGTGGTGAATAAAGGCTTTTGTAGGCTTGGGGGATGTTGGAGTAAGTAATGCCATGAAAATCCATTGAGTGGACTTTTAAATATCAATACACAGTATCTTGCTGAGAAAATCCCACAACTGCAAATAGCTGGAGCCTGGGAAAGCATTTGTAATGTAACATAGCTACATCCTTGGCCTGTTCTTATACTCTTCTCCAGGTGCTGCTGTCAAGTCCCATTGAAAACAGGACACAGGGCAGGATAAAGCTTGATCCAACAATTAGTGGCTCTGATTCCTCCACTTTTCCAAGAAGATACTGTCCTGGAATGAGCTGTGTGGCACACTGTGGTCGTGTGTGTCTGAGGAGCTTTTATGGAGGCTGGAGACACTGAGGTCTCTCTCTGTTCAATAAAGAGAGCTGCTGAGGTGCATGGCTTGAGGAGAAAACTCCTGAGGTTATTGTACATCTGTTATCAAATGGACATTGCAAACAGACAGCCAAAGCATTGAGAAGGTCTTTGTACCAACAGGAACATCTTGTTCTTCACCAGCACCAGGCACTCTGAAATGAACAGATTCCTTAGGCAATGGAAAGCTATTGCCTGGGTCAACAAACCCGCCTCTTGTCTCCTCTGAGGAATGTTTGGGCAAGAAAACATCTCCAAAAGGATTTGCTTTCTTCGACCTGTCCTCTCTCATCTCTTCTTAAGTACTCTGCTTCTGGTTAAGAAGGACTGGACGATGTGGAACTATCTGGACGGGTCAGGCCGACTCATCCTGCCCTCAAAGCCCTCGTGTGCTACTTAAACCCACACCACAGTGGGGCGAGACACTGTGTGGGAGTGTGAGACAGTTCCTAATGTTCCTGTTGATCAAATGGCCCACTGAGTCTCCTGATCTGCTGTGGTGATAAGTCATAACAAGGACTCTCTCTTAATCCTCATTATCCTCTGCTGGCGCTTCCTGCCCACATACACTAGATATTTCCTATCAACAGGGAGTAACCTCTGTGGAAGATAGGATCAGATTCCCAGGAACCAGGCTGTAGTAAGAGTGAAGAAAGAATGAGGAAACAGTCCTAATTTGAGGCTAATCTTATAAATACAGGGCTGGATACAGACAATAGGAAGAGATATGTCAGGAGAGCTTTAGCATTTATTTAGGAAAGGAACATCTTTTTCCAGGAGTAGCCTTAATTGTAACTTATGATGTGATGAAGTTGCTGTTTGATCTCAGCTTCGGCAGAGGGAAAGAGACAGATTCTGCTTTGTGTCACCAGAGGAGGAGTAGCCTGAGAAAAATACAGGGAAAAGCGTTTTTAAAAGTACTTTTTTGTCACTTGTGTACTGATTCAAGCTGCATGGATGGAATGTTTAATTTTCTCAGTTTTTATTCAAATAAAACACTAAATAAGAAGGAAAAGGCTGTGTGGTTTTTCCCAAAGCAGACATGCTAATGTGTGTACCCATTAGGTATTTAAAGTTGCATGGCATTGCTGAAAATGCAGAAACCCACAAATCTTTTCTTCTAGAGTAAGGGGATTATTGGGGTGGGGTGTTTCTTTCCCCTACCTGGAGCCTGTACCAGTCAGAGACTTGGCCTGTCCTTCATGCTCATCTTTTTTCTGGGCAGGGTGGAGTGTGCTGGAGCTGTTTGTGATGAGGAGTTCTCTACAGACAGTAGCTTTTATGAACCTTTTTTAGACAACCTGTTAAAATGAAGAGCAGCCTCCTACCTGTCCCTGTCCTGTCCACATCCCAGCACCGTGCAGGGAGCCTGTGATGCCTCTCTGTGTTTCATTGCAAGCAGGGTGAGAGCAGGTGTGTGTTTGTGAGAAACAAGTCACCTTTACGGCAGATGTGAGGGTCCCTCATCACATATTCATGTACAGCAGGTGTTGTAGCACAATCCCATAACTCTATGAATGGCTACAGTGCAACAAGGTGTGGACACTGGTTGCTCATCCCCACCCTGAAGGAGGTGTTGCAAGTTCCTGAAAAATGCCGTCATGCCCTTGCGGGTTTGGACTCGTTTGGCTTTTCACTATCTGTGCTGGGGTTGGTGTTTTGTTTGTTGCCCAGCTCTGGGCTGGTCACTGCTTCTTCCTTCAGAAGGTTTACAGGCCTTGCCTTGGATCAAGTTTATGAAGCTGCAGTGATGTACAAACCCCTGTTGCTTCCTGGAAACTTCCTGTTCCTTTTAAACAGGCCCACTTGGACAGGAGATTTCACAAGGCCTGTCCCAGGCTTCCTGTATGAGTTAGGACAAGGCTTTTCAGCCATCCATATGCCATCTGTATCTTAGTTTCCCACTTCCTATTGTTTCTGGCCCTCCCAGGACAGATTTTTTTTCTGAAAGTCCTCAGAACAATGTGGATTTCCATTCCTTCCCCACATGGCTGGCTCTGCTGTTTTCTCTTCACCATAGCAGGTTATGTGATCTAAGGGTTCTACTTTAACCCGAGACAGGGCACATTTTGACTCTGATGGCAGGTTTGGTTTTCTTCTCTGTTTAAGATAAACTCTGTCAGGGAGCAGGGCTGGCTCAGAGGGCATATACAGTGGTGTGGGCACAGCAGATCCTCTCTGTGCTAAGTTTACTTCCGTGAAGGGTTGCTAAGTAGTGCCTACGGGTGGTTGATGCAGCTGGATAGTGAACAGAGTGTAATTGCTTCTGCTATCTTCTGGGATGTGCTTCCAGCAAGTCACGACACCTGGTAACGTGCTTGTAACATCTATTAACCTTGTAATTTTATAAGTGGTGCTTTAATCCTGCCTGGTTGCCAGTCAGGTCTGGAAACATCGACTGTGGCTCTCCATGGTCACTGCTAAAATGCTGTGCCTGGTCACTGAGCTTGCTGCATTTTGCTGTCACCATTGTTGTCTCCTCCTTGTCAGATGCTCCACTCCTTTGCACAGGTCAAAGCCTGCCCTTGTTTATTAGTTTTCTCCCTGAGTTCTGCAGAGTGGATGTTGGAAGGTTGATCCTTTGCTGGCCAGGTACTGCTGTGTGATACTTCCCCCTTACAGATGACAGATACTCTGCAGTGAAGAGCTGTGGGGCTGAAGGGGTCAGCATTTCTGCAAAGCACTGAGTCACCTGGTGTGGCACTGGAGCTTGGGAAGGTGGAAGAACTGGAGCAAGAGTTTGGGCTTGCTGCAGAAAGAAGATTCAAGAACTCGTGTGTGTGCTGTTGGGATCTGGTCTGCTGCAGCAAGGGGAGTCCCTGCTGCTGTGGAAGGGACATACCAACCTCAGGGTGCTCAGTGAGGCAGGGGATGGATGGAAAGGGATGTTCTGCGCTGGCTGTGAGCAGACTCTGGACTAAGCCACCAGCAGAAAGTTGGTGGCAGAGCAGGGATTGATCCCTGAGCTTTTAACAAACCAGCTTTCACCAAACCTCATGGCTCAGCCTTCTTCTCCCAGGCTTGCTGTGAGCATAGGTGTGTCAGGCCAGAGTACCCAACTGCTGTAATCCTGATCTATACCCATTCTCACCTGGGAAGGTGTCCCCTGGAGAACTGCAGGCAGCAGTATCCTACCATGGGGGAAGCCCTGAAGAGGAGAAGGCTTGGCCAGGAGAAGGTGGGGAGCACACAGAGGATCTTGGGGTGGATTTTCAGGACAGGCTGACTTCCAGGTCCAGCTCTTGGTCTTTACCAGGACTTGGCAGTCCTGGTAAATGCTCTTCACAGCACTGGGAGGGACTGGTGTTCAGTGAGCAGGGCGGGGTGGACGCTCTGTGCCAAACTCTCGCTTGTCTCCTTTCTCTTTAGGGCATTCTTCATTCATTAAACTTGCTACCAAGGCAGCTTTGGTGGAAGTAATCAGTCCCCTGAAAGTGGAAGCCTTTTCTGGGTGAGCACCCAGTGTTGAGGTTTGGGTGAACTGCTGTGTTTTTGGAAGATCAGAGTGGGAAAAGTGGGGAATTTCGTTGTGTGCTCCATTACCAGTGACTGTGGACAAGAACACAAAGCAACAAACAACACCAAAGAGCAGACAGCCAGTTTTAATTGCCTGCAGTCAGATGGTGAATGGAGCAGAGCTTTGAACAGAGAGCACAGCTTGCCTCTAAGTTTGTATGTCTTCCTCCTTCCTGGCTCTAAACATGACTTCAGCTGTGGCTCCAGAATAAGCAGCGGGAGCCAGTTTAGGGTGGGCACCAACTCTGCCTTCCACTTTCCTTAGTGCCCCAGTCAGCAGGGCCATGATCCCTGGGCAGCAACCCTGTGGCATGGCTGTCATGCAAAATAACGAGCAGGCAAGTCCTGACTCCTTATTTATATTTTGGTGAAGGTTTTTATCATGTTTCCTGCAGACACAGACGGAGAGGAACGGGTGGTTCTGCTGTTGGCAGCCCTTTCTGATAAAGGCCAGTGGCTTTTCACAAGTCTCACAGCTCTTGAGTTGCTGTTGGGTCTCAGTATATCCCCTTTTGTTGCTTCATGTTGCTGCTTCTCCTGTGCCTGCTGGAAGACCCGTGTCTTCTATGGAAGGGATTTTTAAGAAGCTGCTTAGTCTGTTTAATTTTCATCTTTATAACCCTTATTCTGTTTGTGTGTTTTTTATTCTTCCTCTGCCCCAGAAACCTCTCGTTTACCCTACCCAGGTAGGCAAAATTTACAGGAATCTTTAATTTGTTAATTGAAACTGCTTCTTGCTGTGCATGGAAACAAAAAAAAAAAGCAAACTACAACTGCAACACAGTGGAAGTGTAAACAGGAAAACATGCAAAAAACCCCTTCATTTTGGAGACATAGTCCCTTAAGATGTAAAACCTTCTAGGCCTGGAAGGTCTGTGAGTCAAGTATCAATTGGTCTGATGTACCAGAAAAGGAAATGTTTAACTCTTTTATTTATGTCCAGGAGAGCTCAATGAAGCCTTCAGGTTAAAAAACAGCTCAGGAGGATTCAAAGGAAAGCAGCTCATAGGGCTTCCGGCTGCATATGCAGCACTTTAAATTTAGAGCTTCGTGGGAATGTTAATAGTTTATTCTCAGCAGTGTCAGTGGAATGAGTCTGTAATTTGGAAACTTTTGCGTGACTTTCAATTTTAAAATAAAAGAGAATTCTGGCCTAGATTTTAAAAAGTTCCCCCAAACCAGTAGTTAGATAGCCTATAAACGGTGTCTAGAAAAGCAGATCCCTTAAGGCTGTTTCCACTTGGAATCCAAATTTATGAAGTGATCTTATGTTGGAAAGTCACCATGTGATTTGGGCAACCAATAATTGGTGAATTATCTATTAGCTGAAATATATTCAGATAAACTGAATATTTGAACATAATGAGTAAAGTCATCAAAACTGAAGCCTGTTCATGGCTAATTTGTGAACTGTCAAAGGAGCTCAATCATTTAATGAGCATTTGGTTCCAAGCTGTGCACCTAGGTCTAGTGTCCAGCTGCAAAGGAGCAAAATGTTCAGTTAAGTTCAGTTTTGATTGTTTATGAAGATCAGATATTATTATTATTGCTTTACTTGGAAAGGACTTTGGAAGACTTTGGAGTGTCTTTTTTGTTTTAATCCCTTCTGGGAGGGTGCCAGCAGGTCAGGTTCAGACAGTTATCCCCTCTGCACTTGGTCAGACAGTTAACCTGGAGTTTCTTTGGTCTGGAAGTTCAAAGGGGGTCCTTGTCTCTGCTGCACTGGGACCCTGCCAGGCAGTACAGCACTTTTCAGCTCTGCAACTTGAATTAGGGCAAAGGAAGAACAAACTGTCACTGTGAGCTGTTCCAACCAACTCCCTTCTTCTGTCAACTGCCAACCATGATTTTATGTTTAATTATTTGCATTACCTCATTAGTCCTGTGCTAGGTGTTGTACATGGCCAATGATGCAAAGCCTACCCCAGGTCTGGGCACTGTACAGGCTTCCCTGTAGGGCGGATGTGCCAAAGTGTTTGAAGTGCTCAAGGAGGGGAAGCTGGCAAAATCTCCCCTACCTCCTCCCCTTGGAATAGTAGGATATTTAACATGCTAATTTAGCTTACTTATTAAAATGGAATATTTTTCTTCAGAAGTAAACCCTGCAGTGGTTAGAATCTCCTTTATGCTTTCTGTGCCGTGTGTCTGAGCAGGACAATTTTGAGGGAGACCCTGCCAGATGTCCACTGGGCTCTTCCCACCTCCACAACCCCAGCATCAGACTCTCCAGAGGATAAAAGTCAAAGTATTTCTTCTGAAGGTGCCTGGTTTACAAGCAGATCTCCTCCCTCCCAGAGCCTGTGGTGAGGGCTGGCTGCTTGTCATTGCCCCCGTGTTGTTTCCGTGTCCTCACAGCCCGTGTGTACACACAGATTTCCACTTGTTTTTTTATCACGTTCTCCTTTCTGAGCTTCCCTTTAGACTGTTGATAAACTGCATTGCTTAACATGGGCGAGGGTGTTGGTTTTGGAGGGTCTGGCAGGGTTCCTGGCA